CCCTCCAAGCCATAACTATCGGCTCGTAGTAGTAGTAGTAGTGTGCAATTGGTGTTGGATTGCCTATGATGAGGACGTCAGACACTGAATAGCAACAAGAACCACAACCTCTGCGCTTTCATGCCAGCGACAAACTGGGATCAGGTCGACGGAGATGAGATTGGATTCAGCGACGTCAAACCCTCGCCTACAGCGGCCCACACGCCAAACTAGCATATTTGACAAGGAAATTACAAACAAGTTGTTTGATGGAATGGCTGCATATTTGTAGTACGTAGAAAGCGCTAAAATGCGGCTCGAAAAGGTAAGTAAAGCAGGCAAGATGCTAAAAGGCCAAAAGGGCAAGACGATGCATTTTTCTTACGTTTGAGACCGTTTAAGAGGAACGACAGGCTACGCGAGTACGATAATATTCAACGGGTGGTCGGGAAACGCATTAAATAGAACAGATCCCCAATGGGAAAAAGAAGCAAGCTTTTTAGAAACGTCAAGCGTTGGTGAAAACAAAGAAACTGACAGTCGGGTAGTAAATAACGAAATAACGGCGTGTGCGTTAACAAAACCATCAACTACAAGCAGTGATGCGCGGAAACGCTGGTGGCCTTTTAAATGTTTCTCAGATTTCGGACCTTAGCTCTTATTAGAAGTTAATCGAAATTGTTTGGCATTGGCTGACACTTGCCAGAACAATACACAGAATATTACTAAAATATGGCAGTCACTAGCAAATTTCATTGTTGGAGACACTCGATGCGCTTCCCCAGCCATGCATATAGTCGATGGACGGATTCGCGGGAACCAAAATGGCGTGTAGTGCCTTATACTCTAAACCGTTTAGTAGTTAGGGCAAAAACTGTATCCGATATAACCAGGATGACTGCTTGGAAAAATTACGGCAAAAGGGCCACTATGATTGCCTTCTTTTGCCTCCAGAACAAGTCCAGCAAAACAATGCAAAAAATATTAACGAAGTCGATTCCGGCAAATTATTTACTAGAAGAGAATAGGGAACTTTTTTATTCCTGCTACACCGAAGCATCCCGACACTTTCAATATATTCAGGCTTGTATGCCGCAACAAAGTCCGCAATTAACTGGACCTCACCACGGAGAAACTCAGTGGACAGAATCAAACGCCAAAAAAAACATCTAGGAAAGAGATGAAGAAGGGCTGTTGACGCCAGTCGCGATGTTTAAGAGATCAATGAAGAGAGCCCTTATGTACGTACCAACCGCTGCTCCACCCCCCCCTTCCGCCCTGGGGGTGGAAGCCTAACTGGTTCCCCTATGTTCAGACATCGCGGTAAAAATTGATCGGGTTGATGTAACTGAAGACCTTTGGGTTGATGTCAAGACAAATAACATGGTAGTTCTTACGCAGTCATGTACCTTGAAGACTAAAATAACGGCGTCGTTACTCCAATTCGCGGGAGCCATCTATGCCTCCTAAATATAAAGCTAAGACTATTAACCGTTAGCCCGTACAACTGCACTGCGCTATACTGGGAAGGTAGTCCTACTTGATGTATGGCTTTCGAGTGTTTCTGTTGCTCTACAGACCTCCCGGGAAGTTGGTGGAGTGTAGTTACACTGGGGAACTAGACCACCTTCAATGTGAAAAGGAACTGAAGGAAACGAGTTTGTCGGTCCTGTGGCTGGGCACAATGCCTCGTTGATCTAGAGGGCGTTAACGTTATGAGTGCAGCTTGGCTGGCTCTGCCAGTTAGGGCTAACGGATAAACTCGTGCTCAAAATCTAGTATTGTCGTGTTTCTGTTGACTGGTATATAGTAGGAGTTGCGAGCTATTTAAATCCCTAACTCGGTGTGGTCTTGAGTTGCGGAGATCCCGACCACACGACACAGGTGCATGGAACCCGGACCGGTGCGAAAGTGGGTGACCCTTGCGCTCTTTGACAGTCTCATATGAGAGAAAATGCCCACAGCGATGTTTGCTATAGCCCAGGATTCAATAAGTACCCTGGAGAGTATGCTTAAGTTGAAGAAAGTTGCCTTGAATTGAAGAGGTTGTTAGAGATAAACAGATGAAGACCGTTGCAAAACAGGCCGGAATCGCAGGTCGCGTCTTTTCGACAACACTTTAAAATCATGCTTATCGTCGGCGTCAGCACAAGGTATGACGCAGAGACGTATCAATGACATTACTTGATGCGTTTTTACAAGCCGGATGTTGATTGGGTTCTAAGCCTATCTGTCATAGAAGGAAGTCGTTGTTTACAACAACGAAACAGTTCCTAGTAGAGAAATCAACAAGTTTTTGTAATAATCGCGCCAAGTTTTTCTGTGGCGTAGTAAAAATGACATATCCTATAGATTAACCACACTCCACCTCTCAGGCAATGACAAAGTCACGGACGTCGAAGGACCTGACGGCAATCTGGAGTACATCATGAAGTCTCGTTCGGTGATAAGACAGTTTTCAGCCGTGTTTCCAGTGGAAGTGAAAGTAGTTCTTGGTGCCTGCCACCAAGCCGTGGTCTAACAAGCGCAGTTGCTGCGATGCCTCCGTGTAAAACCTAAAGGACACTTTTGCTCGCTTTTTTTGCCCTACGGACAAACCACCGATCACTTGGCACAAAAGCTGAAGTCTTCAACTACGGATCGTGATTCTAGAACTGTGACCATAAAACACGATCATTATGATGTTGTCTGTCATAAGAGAAACTTAGTTCGGAGGTCTTTCATCAAACCATATTCGGCAGACTGCTGGAGCAGAATACTTTTAACCTTTATCGTCAAAGGTTTGA